TATATATATATATATATATATATATATATATATATATATATATATATATATATATATATATATAGATTAACTGCTTGTATGGTGCACGCATACAAGGCGTACAAACAGGTACTGCATGCATACATGCATGCATCCACCTTCACTCAGTGAGGCTACACTACCAACTGACTTTCCCTTTCCCCCCCCTTCAACTATATATTTTATAAACTGTCTGCTTTCTTTGTAGCTGTCGCTAGTACTACCAGAGTACTCAGGCTGTACTGGTGGTTGTAGGGTTTAGGGTTTGGAGATATTAGTTTATTATTAGAGTTTTAGGGTTTAGTAAGAACATTAAGATTCGCGGGTTTGTGTCGTTGTGTAAATAGAAGAAAACCCCAAGGCGTTCTCTGCTTTGCGCCGAAGGCCGCGGGTTTAGCCCGCGAGAAGAGCGGCAATGAAGGGCAATGAAAGCTGCAGCAGTTTCAGGTGTATATACTGCATGCTTTTTTCCTGATGAAAGAACATCTCAGCTTCAAGTGTATATACACCACAGCTAAGTTTCAGGTGTATGTGCACCTTCATAGTTTTCAGGTGTACATACACCCCATCTAGTTGAGACAGACAGACGCCTGGTCTGGCCGTCTTTATCGATGATATGTTCTTTCTTCTTTGACCCTCAACAAAACAACAAGACGGTTTATATTTTTGCAAATAATAATTAATTAAGAATAATAATTTAAATAAATATAATGCGGTTCATCGGATATTCATATTTCTATTGGGTTGTCGTTTCGACCCCCATCTTTGCGGTTCCCCTCTATCACTATATCACTATCTAAATCACTATAAATTATGTTTAATATTTTTCTTCTTTAAGCCCATCTTTCAAATAAATAAATCTCGGTGCTGTTTCCTCATCTTTGTAGTATGCATACACCAGAGAGGCCTCGAAATCGTTGCTTTCAGACATAAAGAACTGAAAATCATCGAAGCTGCCGAGAATTTTCTTCACAAGTGCAGCAGATTCATTCTTAAAGGGTTCAACACGAGAAGGATTGTTCTCTTGAAGGTAATCCATAACACGTTTCAAATATCCTTTTATATATGTTGTGAAATCTTTCTTTGTTAATGTTGTCTCGCTCAGGTGAAACGCATTCACTATGTCAATCACCGTTTCAGCTGTATCCTCAACACCGCCCTCTCCTTCCTCGCTGCACAGAAACAGAGAAATAAAAAAAAAACAAATTCAACATAAACAAACAACGTGAAAACAGAAAGGATACAAATAAACAAACAGAACAGACGCAGCTGCATACCCCTTGAAAAAATATTATACATGAAAAGGGGAAAGCAGAAACACACCTGTTGTCAGCAATTCCGAAATCCTCAGCTGCCTTCGTCACGCGGCTCCCCTTGACCTCGAACGCCACTGCACGCAGAAACCGAGAGAAACAACGAAACAAATGCATGAAACCAACGGCGTGAGATATTAAATACAAATGTGATGATAAAATATATTATATAATACTATAATAATAAGTATAATATATCATATTTCGCTGTATTCTGTTGGGCCTCTACACTGATCGAGGCAACAGCTTTCAGCTGTCGCATAAACACCTGACGCCGTCCCACGGGAAACCAGAGGGTGTGGCCGAGTGTTTTCTGGTTTTATTTGCGTGAGTATAAAGCGAATTACAAATATATAAATATATTAAAACAACGAGAAATGCTTTAAATTCAGGGAATAGGAAG